CCCTAAACTGGCCACCCATTCCTGTCAGTGCTTAGATTCAGGCAAGATAGAAATCAGTCCCTGAGGCAAAACCCTGAAAGGTCAGAACACAGGACATACATTCCACTCCTTTCTCTTCCCAGGAAGAAGTTGGGAGTTGATCATTTCTAACCAATCATGTCATCCTGGGAGGATGGGTCACTTGCAAGGAAGTGCTATTAATTTTCCTACTGTGCTTTTATGCAGTTGGTTTCATACTCACCTTGTATGCAAGAACCCAGTTAACTGGTTTCTGGATTTCTCAAAAAGATAATTGGTCCATGTATTGTTAAATTTGTGTCACATGAGAGGAGGGTCTGGAGCTGCCTATTCTGCCATCTTGCTGCTGTCACTCCTGATTTGAATCCTTTTAAATGAATTTGTATTTGTGCTATGGTCTAGATTATGGTCTGCTTTGGTAAATATCCCATGCAGACCTGAATGTGTATTCTGCTGTGGATAGGAGGAGTGTTCTATTAATAAGTATGGTTGATAGTGTTATTTAAATCTTATAGATGCTTATTGATTTTTTTGTCTGCTTGTTCTATTGATTATTGAGGTGAGTTTGAAATCTCTGACTATAATTTATTAATTGTGGATTAATAATATATTAATTGTGGATTTCTCCTTACACTTATAACACATTTTCCTTCATGTATTGGGTTGTCAGAAAAGTGATAATGTATTTTTTCTATGTTTTTTGTTGCAAAAATGCGTCATGGCTTTTCCGACAACCCAATATTTTGAACTTCTGTTATTAGGTGTATAAGAAAGGGAATTGTGGAGGGCAGAGAAATGCATACTGAGGTCAGGAGACAATTAAACTCAGTTTTTAAAATGTTACATATTTGATAACTGAAAATGAATTGTGAAAGTACACAGACAGAGAAGGAAGAAATAAAACTGTCTTTGTTGACAGATGACATGATTATCTACATGAAAAAAAATTTTTAAATCAACAAAGCAAACCTGTAAGTGATTAAAGTTGTAAGACACAAGGTTAATACTGTTTTCCTGTGTACCAGAAATGAACAATTGGAATCTGAATTTAACAACACAATATCACTTACATTAGACCAAAAAAAAAGCACAAACTTAGGTATAAATCTTAACAAAATATGAACAAGATCTATATGAGGAAAAATACAAAACTGATGAAAAACACCAAAGGAAATGGAAAAAAACAGAGAGATATTACATATACAGGTGACCCTTGAACAACCCACGGGTTAGGTATGTGGACCCTTGAACAATCCACATATGCAGTTGGTTGAATCTACAAATGCAAAACTGAGGGATACAGAGGACCACTGTATATTTATTGAAAAAAATCCACATATAAGTGGACCCGTGCATTTCAAACCCATGTTTTCAAGGGTCAAAAGCATATGGAAAATAAGGTTCAATATTGTTAAGATATCAGTTCTTCCCAACTTGATCTGTAGATTCAATGCAATCCCAATCAAAACCCACGCAAGGTGGTTTTTTTTTATGGTTATTGATAAACTGATTCTAAAGTTTATATAGAGAGGAAAAAGACCCAGAAGAACCAAAACAAAATTGAAAGAGCACAAATCAGAAGATTGATACTACCCACCTTTAAGACTACTATAAAACGATAACAATCTAGACAGTGTGGTATTGGTGAAAAACAAACAAACAAAAAACAGATAAATAGGTCAAATGAACAGAATAGAAATCCCAGAAATAGACCCACACAAATAGAACCAAGTGATATTTGACAAAGGACCAATGATAATTCAATGGACAAAGGATAATCTTTTCATCAGGGTGTGCTGGAACTGGACATCCACATGCAAAATATAAATCTAGGAAGAGACTATACACCTTTCACAAAAATTAACTTAAAATGGATCATAGGTCTAAATGTAAAATCCAAAGTGATTAATCTCCTAGATTAATATAAGTGAAAGTCTAGGTAACCTGGGGTTTAGTGATGGCTTTTAAAATACATCAATAGCACAATCCATGAAAGAAAAAATTGGGAAGTTGGACTTCATTAAAATTAAAATTTTCTG